AAATGTATGCACTCACGCACACACACACACCCACCCACGCACTCAATGACCAACATGCTTGCATTGAAGGCCACAAACACGCGCCATAATCATACAAAACACCCTCTCCGCTGCTTTGCTCTTCATTGTAAGCAAGCAAAGATTTCATGCCATTCATGTCCTTGAAGTAATTCTGCTCTTGGTCTTCGTCTCTAGGTGTGTCGGTGTGCAAATACTCACACTCTGTCAGTCAGCCAGCCATTCACTGTAGCATTGCATTTAAGATCCTTGTAAAGTGTTCTTTTGTTGTCCTCCGCTCAAGTATTTGTTGCATTCATCCAGCCAGTTGAGAAGTAGTCACATCGTAGTCGTCTGACGGTCGGTAAGTCTCATTCTCATTTACCGTTACTTCTAACGTTTTGTGCAACTATGTCGTTTATAGTAATGTTCGTGTGTGTGTGCATGAGAGTTCCTGAGTATGCTTGGGTTTCTGGGGGCCGCATGAGTGACTGAATGTTTGCCGTTATGTCAAACGATGTTAGAGTACAACCTGAACAACATAGGGTCCAACACTAATGGCAAATAACCCCATTTTGTCGTAATAACCCAAAGCATTGCAAAAAAAGTGATTTCATTTTCATGCATTTTTTCTTCTTCTGTTGAAAAAGAATTCTTTAAAAGAAATGTCGTTCTTTAATGATGTTGAGGAATCATGTTGACAGATGTTAAAAGCGAGGGGTGATATTGTTTTCCTAGAAATTCTGGAATAATGATCTGCATATTAAATTGCAGGAATGTTAATAATTGCCATTTTATGATAGAGATATCTTCAGGTTTTTTATTTATTACTTTACCTTGGAATTTTTATACCCTCCACCATTGTATGGAGGGTATATTAAGTTTGTCATTTCGTTTGTAACACCTCGTAATATACATTTTAGATCCCATAAATTATATATATTCTTGATCAGCATAAAATTCTATGTCGATTTAGCGACGTCCGTCCGTCTGTGGAAATCACTCTAGCTTCCGAACGAATTGAAGTAGAGTGATAAAATTTTACTCAAACGTATATTATGTCTGCAGGACTTTTGACATTGAAAATGGGCCATGTAGGTCCACGTTTTCGTATAGCCCTCATATAACGGTAACTCCCGATATTCGGTATTTTAATGATTTTAGCGATATTATTCACCGAAATTGTTTCAAATTTGATACTTAAAGTTCGTAATGGATACTACAGCCTAAGACAGAAAATTGTCTGTACAGGTCCACGTCTTTGTATAGCCCCCATATAACGGTACTTCCTTTTAATCGGTATTTTCACGATTTTAGCGTCATTATTCACCGGAATTGTTTCAAATTACGTATTTAGAGTTCGTAATGGAAACTACAGTCTGTGACAGAAAATTGTCTATGCAGGTCCAGGTCTTCGTATAGGCCTCAAATATCAATACATCCCTATATTCGGTATTTTGACGATTTTAGGAACAATATTTGTCTTTGAAGTTCGTAATGGATGCTACAGCCTATGACAGAAAATTGTCTATGCTGGTCCAGGTCTTCGCACAGCTCCGATATAACGGTACCCCCTATCTACGATATTTTGATGACTTTAGCTACATTATTCACCATTTATTTCAAGTTTTGAATTTGAATTTGGTAATGACTTATCACAAACAATGCCTATGAAGGTCCACGTCGTATAAACGGTATTTTTAAAATTTTAACAGAATTTTTTAGGATTTTATTTCCAAATTCGTTCCAAATTGTGGAGGGTATTCAAAGTTCCGTCCGGCCGAACTTACTGCTTTTTTACTTGGTTTATTTATTACTTTACATTGGAATTTTTGATTTTTCGAAGTATGATTTGTTTGTGTCACTGGCTGCTTGAAAATTTCCATATTCTTAGTTCTTAGGAAATACAATAATACAGGGTGAGATAAAAAACTGCAACAAAATCAAACGCCATAATTCTAATATTGTTTTAAAATTTTATTGAACGAAAGCAAAAAATGTTGGAAATATCATCAAATTTTAGAATAAGTTTAGATTTGATCCAATAAAAACGTCACTGCCCGAATGTTGCTATGCGGTATTTTGGCCCATTTCCGGCGAAGCGCTTACTTGAGGTAATCGACACTTTGGTATTTTTTAGTGCCAACCTTGCTTTCCAAAATACTTCAGAAACAATAGTCCGATGTATTGGTATCCGGAGATTGGATTCTGGAGATTTTTTGTGGCCATTGTGCGCTGGAAATGAAGCGTGCTCAGTGCTGAGTCCTGTTGGAATGTCCAAGGTGTGCGGCCAAAATGTATGCTTGCCCAAGGCTTTAATACACCCTCCAGAATATTTTCACCATAATATTGTGCATTTATTCTGATGCTATGGTCCAATTATACGAGCGGAGAGCGACCATCGACAATGGCGGTTATGGAGGCCCACACCATCAAAATGGCTGGCGCTTGAGTTCTGGTGGCCAACCGAAGGTGCACATTTTCAGCTGACCTCTTTGGCAAGTAAACACGATCATTTTGTTTGTTTACAAACTGCAGGACAACGAATGTTTTCTCATCGGAGACGGAGAAAACCAAATTTGGCAGTTCACCACTTGCCAAGCGAAGCAACTGCTTAGCTAAGCTTAGCTAAGTAAGTTCTTGCACTTTTTGGAATTTCAATGGCTTTACCCCGACCTCATATTTAAATATTTGCCGAATGGAATATTGCGATATGTTCAGCTCATGAACCATTTTTCGTCCACTGCAACGCGGGTTTCGATCAAGTCGCTTCTTTATTTTCGAACCATTTCTGCTGATGTTGCTATTTTCTTCCATCCACTTCCTTGACGTCAGGCTACGCTCGAAGTCCATCACGAATAACATTTTTTCTGGAAAAATTCTCACCAAAATGCTTTTGTATGCTTGTAAACAATTAGCAGAAGAAATAGTCCGATCTCTACCACCCTTAAACAGATCATGTGTTGATTGAGATGTACCAAGATCAAATATTGAGATGTACCAAGTCTGAATGAAATCGGATGTTAATTTCGTGTTTTATGAGTTTCATGGATATTCAGAATTTTCACCCTTTGTGGGTGAGGTACCACAAGGAGTGGATAAATATATCCCAACTTTACAGAAGATCTTTTGTTAGTAGAAATGATGGAATGTATGAAATATGAGGAGAACCTCATGCATATTTCGAATTTTATAATCCGTTTGGTTATTCAAAATGTTTACCCCTTGTGGGGGAGGTACCAGAAGAAATGTTCAGATCTCGGCCATTTTTATAACAGATCTTGTGATGGAACTATTGAGATGTACAACGTCTGAATGGAATTGGATGTTAATTTCGCATTTTATGAGCTTCATGGAAATTCAAAATTTTGACTCTTTGTGGGGGAGTTACCATAGGGAGTGGACCGATATGTTCCATCTTCTTACCAGTCTTAATAAATGTATTTTGATGTGCGTGTTTGATGCAGAACGACTTTTGCATCACATTTTATAAGAGTTATAACTATTCAAAATTTGTTACCCTTTGTGGGGGGGAGGTACTTGATGGAGTTGACCGATATTATCCATTTTCGCACTTGATATAACACTGGCTCAAATATTAGGATTTGCAAAGTTGGAGGAAAATCGAATTTTCATTTCTTTTTATATGCAGAAAATAGTTTTTTTTTTTTTTAAATTTCGACCTTTTGTGAGGGAGGTACCAGAAAAAGTGGACCGATATATTTCATATTAACGCCAGACCTTGGGTTACTAAAAATATTGAAATGTATGAAATTTGAAGACAGTTAGACATCACATTTTATAAGAGTTACAATTATTCAAAATATTGATCCTTTGTGGGGGAGGTACCAGAAGGAGTGGACCGATATTGTCCATTTTTGCACCTAACCTAGCACTGAGGAAATATTAGGATTTGCAAAGTTGGAGTAAAATTGGATTATGGCATCTCTTTCTGTGCAGAAAATTTATTTTTTGAAATTTTCGGAATTTGGGGCGGGGGGGTTCTGAAGGAGTGGACCGAGTGTACCAAGTTTGGACCAAATCGGATACTCCCTTCGAGACAGACGGATGGACATCGCTATATCGACACCAAATGTCCTGAAACGGATATTGTCCAAAGAGACATAGGGTCTAAGACCGTTATTTGGACTAGCCACGTTTTGACCGTATCAAATGATATATACCCTCTCTAGCCATATGCCTAAGGGTATAAAAATATGGCGCTTTTCTTTGTTGCAGTTTTTTTTTATCTCACGCTGTATTTGTTTCCTCTAGCCGCTATATACAGTTAACTACCGATTTCGTTATTTCAATGGTTTATGCAACCAAATTATCTGACATTTGTCATTTCGGGTCAGAATTAGGAATATATGGCAGAACTCCTATAAAAAAAAGCATCTCCTGATTTGGATTAAATCTAAGGCATCTACCTAAATTTCCAACTGAATCAGATGTAATTTGATTTTTCAAGAATCTATATTATTCCATATTATGACAATGTTTCTAATAGTGGAGGATATAACAAATTTGACAGGTATAAATTTGCAGTTCCCTATAACACTTCATTAGCCAAATCGACTTTATTTTTTAGTATAAAATTTGGAAGCTTTTTCAGCTTATGTCTATACCTCAACGATTCCTCGATTTTTTCTTAATAGACGTCCAAACTGATTATTTCAAGCTATTTACGCCCTACTTCCAATAATGTAACAGATACCATTTGTTGAAGTAATGTGTGGAAGGTAGGCTTTCTCTAAAAGGCACCTGTTAATTGATCAATTTGTAATACAAACAACAGCATGCAGATCTGAATATGACTGCTAAGCCACCTTTCATCCACTTTTTTTCGCCATCCATCCACCTACCCTAACCATCCAATGTGTTAACAACATTTTGTTTGTCAAATTCCGCATCATATCTCTTCCAAATGAACACTTTTTCAACGACGGCAGTGAATGAATCACACCGTGCGATGGCAGTGGATGTTCGTTGCTTGCACTTACCTAAAATGACCAAAGCATTTCCCAGCAGACCGGCAAATCCAATAATTCCAAAGAAGACAGGCACAATCATGGAAACAACTCGTTCTAGAGGCCAATCGGCCTCTAGGTCCATTTCAACGAGATTATCAGGAGGCGGGGTGGTGTTCAGGCCATCCGCAGCCAGGTTGGCTGCGACTCCTCGGCTTTTGCCAATGGCAAATGTGATGTTGCTACATTCGGTGGCATTCAGCCATTCGGCACAGGCGATGGCCAGCGATGAGGATAATGTTTGTGCCTGTGGAGGTAATGTCTGGTGCTGCTGCTGCTGTTGTAGGGGTTCACGCAGCTGGAGGTTGCTGTGATTGTGGTCCATGGTTGTTGTGCGAGCAAGTTTTCTAGCCTCGGGGTTTTAAGGTTGGTTGGTTGCGATATTTGTGCGTGGTTTATGGCAATTTTCTGGAAATAAAAGCGTTGTTCTTTCTGCCGTTTGTCTGGTTGTAGACATTCAATGTCTGCCTGTTTCTTTGAGAGCTGTGAATGGACAGCGTTAACTTGGTTATAATGTTGTTGTTTGGTTGTTGTTTTTTTTTTTTTTTTTCATCAGCAGCTATGGCAGCCACAAAGCCAGCTGTTTTTATGGACCATGCTTTTAGCAAATGTAATAACTGTTCTCTTCTCCTGGATATTGTTATGCCTCATTTTCAAAGCAATGCTCATTTTCCTTTAGCTTTAGGTTCTGCCACTGATTCTTATGATTATTATTGTCATTTGCTGTTGCAAATTTATGAGCAACTTCCAGCTTCAAATGGAAATGTTTGAAATTAAAGACATCATCAGCATGCCGAAGGCGACTTTCCAAGAAGCTGCAAATAAAAGAGAGAGAAATTCTTGAATTAGTAACGTCTTCCAGTTAAGAAAATGAGAAAAAAAGTTATTTTTCAAAGAAATTTTCTTGTGCTAAGTTAAAGGCGGAGAAGAAAATTTGAAGTTAAGACACAAGAATTTTTATTTTAAGCTTTCAACATGTTTGGGCACTTTCACAACTCTTTCAACAATTTGCTAATCAGAAAAAAAGCAGATGCAAAAAAAAGTTTATTTTAAAAATGTTTTGCCTTTTTGTGGAAAGTTACTGGCAATTACTTAGATCGAGTTCTAAGCTATTTATAATGGAAAACTAAACTATTTTTTACGGAATTTCCATTGGCACTTTAAAAACTTTTACCTATTGAAATTCAAAAATGTTTTCAGATGCTGATGAGTGACATTGAAGAGATATTTTTATGTCCAGCTCTTTGTATGTTTAGTTCAATGTTCTACTTAGTTTACCTTCTCCGAATTCGTTGTTCAAAGAAGAGCCGTACTTGGTATCCACTCAGACTTGTTGGTGTTGTGTTTTAAAAATATATTTTTCTTTGTGTGTTAGCATGTTGGCATTTTTCCATTTAGAAAACGTTGGAGGTTCGTAAATGAATATACAATGGATTTTCGGAACTAAACAAATATAATGTTCTTAGAATTTTGAAATTTAGAATGTTAGTAGCATTTGGTGCATGGGGGTTTACGTGTGGTTGGATTTCGAAATACTGAACAACATGGAGTACTAACCAATAAAAAAGAGGTCAAAAGTCGGTCGCGTCGACTTTATGAAAACCTATGCCAACTTAGAAGAGCTACCCAAATTGAATCGATTTCCACTATATATGACGGAGGCATTTGTTCATTTCGACTTCGAGATGGATTATATTAAAAACATATACAGGCTGAGATGAAAAAAAAAAAATGCAACCAACTTCAGACTGCTGTCATTTCTAAGCCACTCGCCCGACAGCTGCTAAAATTATTCCAGTGACAGCTCCTTATATTGCTTACAAGCGTACAAAAGCGTTTTGATGAGAATTTTCCAGAAAAAAAGTTATTAGTGATGGAATTCAAGCGCGATAGTGTGATTTCTTTATATTTGGCTGGAAAACCACAAGGAACTATCCGTAGAGACCTCCAGCATTTAAATGTGAATTAATCTTTTGTGTCTCGTACCATTGCTAGTCACCGTGATACTGGTAGCGTAGCCCGACGTCAAGGAAGTGAACGGAAGAAAACAACAACGTCAGCAGAAATGGATCGAAAAGTAAAGAATCGACTTGATCGAAACCCGCATCACAGTGACCGAAAAATGGCTCGTGAACGCTGAACATATCGCAATATTCCATTCGGGGTAAAGCCATTGAAATTCAAAAAAGTGCAAGAACTTACATCGCAACAGAAAGAAAGTTGACTCGAAAGAGCTAAAGAGTTGATTCGCTTGGCCGAAAGTGGTGAACTGCCGAATTTTGTTTTCTTCGATGAGAAAACAAACAAAACTATCATGTTTACTTTCCAAAGATGTCAGGTGAATCTGCATCTTCGATTGGCCACCAGAACTCAAGCGCTGGCCATGGTGATGGTGTGGGCCGCCATAACAGCCTATTAATCGACCGTGGCATCAGAATAAATGCCGACTATTATCGCGAAAATATTCTAGAGGATGTATTATAGCCTTGGGCATGCAAACATTTTGGCCACAGATCTTGGACATTCCAACAGGACCCAGCACCATCGCACTCAGGTTTCTCGCTTCATTTTCCGCGCACGATAGTCACCAAAATCTCTGGATACCAATCCGTTGGTATTGTGTCTGGAATAGTTTTGAAAGCAAGGTAGAGATACCAAAGTGTCGATCACCTCAAGCAAGCGCTTCGCCGGGAAAGGGTTAAAATACCACCGAGCAATATTCGGGCAACGTTTGACGGTTTCATTGGCCGTTTGAAGGCTATAATTCGTGTCAAAGGTGAATAATTCGAACAAATCTAAATTTATTCTAAAATTTGATTTGATTTATTGCTTTCAATCAAAAAAAAAAAAAAAAAAAAAAAAAAAAAAAAAAAAAAAATAATGGCGTTTGTCTTTGTTGCAGTTTTTTATCTTACCCTGTATTTCTGCAAAATGTTGACCCTTTATGGAGGTGATACAGAAGGAGTGTACCAATACTATCCACTTCATGTCTGACATAAATTTTACAACGTGGCCAATTTGCACCATAATGACTGCTTCCTTCACTTTGTTTACGATATGTGATAATTTTTCCGAAATGTTGACATATGCGTAAGGTATCGGATATCATGGACCGAAGTGTTCCACTTCACCTTTTAAGTGAATAAAATTTAAACAAAAATTTTACCATTATTCACATCAGCCCTTTGGTTGAGAAAAATATTTAGATATGCCAAGTGTCCCTTTATGGGGGGAAGTACCAGAAGGGGTAGGCCGATATCTATCATCTTAACGCCAGATCTTGTATTTTAATAAATTATACAACATTTTTTCCCGTTATGGAGGAGGTACAAAATGCATTTCGCATTTAATGAGAGATAAAAGTATTCAAAGCTTTGACCGTTTGTGTGGGAAGTACCAGAAGGAGTGGTCTAACATATTCCATCTTCACGCCTGATCTTATGTTGATTGAGAAATATTGGGATGTGCAAAAATTGAAAATAATCGTATGTTCATTTCGCGTTTTACGAGTTTCATGGTTGTTCCAAATTTAGACCCGGAGGTGTTGGCCGATATATACCTTATTTACACCAGATTTTCTGTTAGTGAATATATTGCAATAAGCGAATTTTGAGAAGAATCGAATGTTTATTTCACATTTTATAAGAGTTATAATTATTCAAAACTTTGACCCTTCGTGGGGGAGGTACATGATGGAGTGGACCGATATTGCTAATTTTCGCACCTGACATAGCACTCATACTAAAATTGGGATTTGTAGAATAATAAATGAATAATCTAATTCTGACAATTATATCACGATTTACCAAGTTTGGTTCAAATCGGATACTCCCTTCCAGATGAACCGACGGACATCGCTAGATCGACTCCAAATGTCCTGAAATGGATTTGGTCCAAAGACTCAAGGGTCCTAAACTGTTATTTCTATGAAGCACGTTTTGACCGTAACAAATGTTATATACCTTCTGTCGCCATACGGCTGAGGGTTTAAAAAGAAATTATTTCTGGGCCAAAATGTTTTGGAAATGGCAAAATCTAGAAATCTGAATTTTCAATAGTGGTTCAACGTGCACTCATTATAATCTTGTACAGAAACATAACAACGGTATGGTAAAACCTGAAAAAGTGCTCGGCAAAGATAAAATCTGCCCGAATTTAAACGAGTTTTGTTTTCAATCAAAACGTGGAAAATATGCTCACTTATATTCCAGCGACATCGACAAATTGAGTTTGCTCGACTTTATTGCTTTCAGGAGCACATTCGCTCGGTTTCGAGTGAGTTTTACTCTTTGTATGAATTCGATCAAATTCGTTGGTCGCGTTGCTGACAATTCAGCTTTTGACATTATGCTCAGTCACTTGGTAATATACTCAGTCACTTGGTAATACAGGATATATATGGGTTCTGTTTTAGTTACGATGACAAGGGGGCATGTCAATATGTACTTAGCAACAGAATCGTTAACTGGGAATACTTTTTAAACTGGCTCTCTTTAAGTTGCGTGACCGGTAATTCATTTCAACAGGAGCTTCGGCTCATTTGTTTACAGCAGTCGTTCAACAAAAGCTTCGACTCATTGTTCAAAAGAATCTTCAGCTCGTGATTCCAGAGGAGCTTCAGCTCATTTTTCCGCAGGAGTTTTTGTCTCGATGTCCCAAAAAACATTGGTACTTAATCATATGTAGCCAGTGCTACCTAGAATAGTCTCCCAGCTATTGTAGACGATTCAAACAGCTAGACCCAAACTCGAACGAGTTCAAATCAATCATGCTTAGACATTGGCTGCCGAACAGTGAGCTGTCGAATACGAACGAGCCTCGATCCATCATATCTCCCGAGTATCACTCGCCAGCGCGATGACCATCGATTGAAGTTCCCGATATTGTATTTTCTTATATCCCACATCAATCAAAATCTGGCGACCTTCAAATCGTCAGTGATTAGTTTGCTCTTTCGGAAGGAACAGAAATTTGACAATCAATTTTTTTTCCATCCTCATTTAAAATTTTATTTTCATTTCATTCTGGAAACAATATCACATATTCCTGCAAATCTTCGTAGTATTTGCACTACACTTACGCCCTCTGTTGTGTTAATGGTTATTTCCTATATATTCGATATCTGGCTATATTCGTCAATGTAATAATTTGGGTATTTTTTCACTCACAATTGTGGTCCATTTCACCAGCTAAATAATATCTGATGAACATTCAAAATGCTAGACTAAAGCGTTGTCCTAAACTGAATCTTGGAAAAAATTCTCTGTCTATTAATCCTTAATTGAAAACTGTAGGGTAACTGCAAAATCTAGAACATTTTTGGTGTTTCTGTCCATTTCCAAACCCTAAAAATCCGGCGATAGTTGCAATCTGAATTTTTATATGCAGAATTTACAGTTCAATATTGTAAGTTAAATTGAACAAATCTTTTGGAAAGGAAATATGAAAAAAAAAATATCACAAAATATTACAAAAACTAATTCCAAATTTTATTAGCATCTTTTTATAGCGATTTTTTTAGATTTTATTCATTTCTGGCAAAATTTCATTCTGAATTGGCGAGAATAATCAAAATTCGTCCAGCCGTTCTTGATTTATGAGCGGTCTAACTATCATCCTCTTTTTTAAGCTATCTTGGATATCATCATTAATGCAACGGACAGAAGAAACCTTTTGGCGGTTTCGTGGAAATGTTCGTGTTTTTTACATAAAATATTATTGGATGACCTTGATGGTCATCGGTCTGGTCTGTTTTGGTCCATTTCAATCCCTAAATATTTTGAGATCATCTTCCCCAACAATTGGC